AAAAACTACCGTGTCTGTACGGAGGATGGAAACGCGTATGCTTCTCGTACGCCTATTCGATGCGCAGACAGTGCTGATATGTATATTAGAGCTGTGCTCGCATGTACTGCCTGTGCTTACGTTCAATAATTCAGATTATTAAGCAAATGTGGATTATATAAAATGCAATATGAGAGCACTTGTACGGCGCGTTCTGATTAATATTATTGATCAGTAGCTTGGTAATTATTAATTTCGTGCATCACTAATACCACCTCGAACGCGGGCGACGGATCCGGAAGTCGACGATCAAAAGTTTCCGTTGGACGGTAACATATCTACACTTGTGTTCTACACGAAGCAGCTGTGTATATATTAAAACATCTTATAATAATGAATTCGAATGCTGTCGAAGGCACAATATTCAGAGTTCAGTAGCGAACGTCGCGGTGTAAATACACCAAATAGTTTCCGGTTAAGACGTCCGCGGGCACTACCGTCGTGCGATCGGAAATGGAAAATCAATAATTTATAATACATTACACTGGTGCTGGGGATGGAGCCGGCTGCGTTCAAATATTTGCGCACGAATCGCTGGAAAAAACCCGTGTACCAGCAGCCGCGCGTACGTTTATAGAGATGTTATACTGAAATGGAATTGATTTAATATTTATCCGGTGATAAAAAGTTAAACGGGACCGTATGCGTTAGTGACACAAATATAAATGGCATAATAAATATAAAAATGTTTCTTCGGTCGAGCGTAAAAACCAGAAATGACGACATTGGTACACATTTCCTCGGCGGAATCAATTTTCTCGCAACGCCGATATGAAAGAACCATCGGAATGCGAACAACATTACAATGTTTAATTAGCGACAACGATTCCGAGACGGTACGCGTAGAAACACAAACGACCGCGTTGCGAATGAACGTTGTACAACTATTTGTTTCAACAGTGTGAATGGGGTATTGTTATAATAATAAACCGTTACGGTGTCGGTCGACGCGGAATCAACTCGTCGGTGATTTCCGGTTTTTCTTATCCGTGGAATAATAATTGAAGTTAAAATCGTTTAACCCTATCGTTCGTATTGTCGGTTCGCGCGTTGGCGACGGCGTTCGGTAAACAATGAATCGCGGACGTCTTCTCGAGGGGAACGCGTACAAATGAAAAATCAACAGAATCTCAATAAGATGCGACTGCGGCGGCGGCGACAACGGCCCCGACCCCTTGTATCGGTTTTCTCGAATCGATTTCGCGTTCGTCGGGCACATGGTGATCTCTCGTGCACTATTGCGTCGCGTAAAAGCATCCGTGTGGCTTCATCCCCCGCGCGCGTGCGATCCAATACAGCCGTCGAGACCGTACACGAACAGAGTGCATCGTTCCGCGTGATAGCTGTGGTGCGGGAGCAGACAAGTAAAACGCGTTCAACGGTAATTTGTAATAGGTGAAATACGCGAAATGAGTTACGGTTATGTTCGGTTTTACTTCGCAGCAACTATGCCCGATGCGTGTACAACGACTGCGGGGACCGAGAACGAATGGTTACCCGAGATCGGCTACAACGATTTTTTACGTTTCTCGTAAATGCGTTTGCGCGAAAAACAACCGATACTCGGTAGGTACCCGGTACTGGTCGTACACAGTCTATACACGCCTATAATATACAGTAGAAATCACTATAACGAGTATCGCTTGGAACGAGATATTGCTTACAACGAGCAAAACGTTAGGTCCCCCGGCACGAGCCCATATGATTATATGTTAAAACATACGTCTACAACGATATCTTGTAACAACTATCTTGTATTTAGATACGAACTATAAATGTATCTAGTAAATGTATCTTGTAGTTAGATACTTTTTTTTTTAGGTATTTCGGTCCAGCCTTGGATATATATATATGTATGTATAACTGCCTAAAGTGTTAGTAAAAAATCACACCGTTGGTGGGTAAAACATTTTATTTTTTATTAAATACCGTTTTTGGTAAATTCGTTTTTGATGTATAAAAAAAAGCTGTAATAGTCATAAAAAGAATATATGAGCCATTTAGAGTTTAGATCTACATTAGCAAATTAACTTATATCAAATTATTCATCTCGTAAAATACCTATTATATCACCATCCCAAAAAAATCAAAATCAAATGTGGAAGTCATTTCAACTTTTAAACCACATATTGTAACTAAAATTGAAAAATATAGACTCTGTTTTAGATATAATAACAAAAAATATGAAAAATGGTCTAATATAATGTGTGCAACTTGCAATAAAGTTTTATGTAAAGATTTTTTTGCTACGTACCATAAAATATAATTAATCATATTTTATTACCTAATTATCAGAATTCATATTGTTTATTAAGTTGATTTAATTTATTTTTATTATGAATGTACCATCAGGCTCCTACGTAAAGGCGGTTGGCCTCAAATGGTAAAGCGTATGTCCTTACAATTACCCAGAGACAATAAAATATTTACATTTGTGTATGTGCGGGTGACCAATAATAATAAGAATAAAAATACAATTAATGAATGGCCGGTGTTGGGCCTACAACACTTTAATAATAATAATAAAGAAAAATTATTATACAGAATAGAAAAAAAAAATGGGCGCCCTCGTCTATCATAAACACACAAATGTAAATTAATAAAATACGAGTAATACGAAATAAAAGAAAAATAGAACAAATATATACATATGTAGTAATCTATTCACATAAAATTTGATAAAAAGGTAAAACATCACCAACTGCAGGAGAGCCAACTGCACAGCATGGACCGGCGGCACACAATTTCGGTCACACTGGGACCGACTAGCGGCAAACACGCATGACGGCGACAGGGTCGACCAACAGCAAGCACGCACGACGGCGAAAGGGCCGACCAGTAGCAACGCACAACGGCGAAAGGGCCGACCAGCAGCAAACATGCACGACGGCAACGGACCGACCGGCGGCAAAGCACACACGACGGTGTAAAAAACAACGCACCGCACAATGCGCACACACGACGCAGAGCGACAAAAAAAATATTATCGTCCACAGCGGACACTCACGCGTCGGCAAAAACCACGGTCACGCAACGATACGTACTGTGTGAGAATTCAAGTACGACAAAAGACGCGACAGGCCCGGTACGGCTCGACGGTCGAAATTGCGATAACGCAGGGCAGAGCGGGGAGGGTGGTACAAACAATAGAATTTTCTAGAAGAACAAAAATAGTTTGTTATCTTTTTAACAATGAAGACTAAATTATCTAAGTCAAGTAAATTCCATAATTTTATTTAAAAGTTAATTATTTCGTTAATAATTTTATTATAAGTTTATTTAAAAGTTGATTTTATTTATTTGTTATTATTATTATATATGAAGACTGAATTGAGTAAATCAAGTTAATTCTACAAGAGCTTTTAGTTTCTAATTTTAAAATTTAATACTCTTTATGTAATCATGGTTAAGTATTACCAAAAATTTAGTGATTTCATTCTTTGTATTAAAAATATTTTGTTCAATTTTTATAATAAATGATAAGGTTTACTGTAAAATAATAAGAATTTTTTTTATCAGTTGAAAACATTTGTATTTACAGGTGTCATAAATCCTAAAATACAACTTAATATCTATTTTATATTTCATATAGTATATATTTGTTTGCATGAAAATAGTTAATATTAAAAAACTATTAGTTTGTTATTAAGTGGGAAATTATTTCCCAGCTATTTTTTACCAATGTAAATGAAGTTACGAATTTTTTGACATTTTTCACAGTAATCTTCATCTCATAAGAAATAAATCTGAAAATTTGGTAGAAATCGTACATTTTTTTCTGTGCCCTATAAAGGGTTAAATATTAATTAATGTTAAATATATATATATAAATTTAAAAAAAAACATTTCCTATTTTCTTTAATTAGGGGTAGAGTACAAAATAGAAATAGTATTTGGATTCAGCAATCTAAGACACGTAAATTATTTGATATAAAATATGCAAGTGTTATGAAAATTTAGAAACATAAGTTAGGTTAGGTTTTTTTACTACTAATTAGGTGTTGATTTCAAAAATGATAACAAGTTTGAATTTAGCATGTTCAAACTAATAGAATTGATAATTTTTGTAATTTTTTTAACTCATATTTAGAAGGTATTAATTAATGCAAGCTAATCTATAACACAGATCACAATGCGCCACCGCGATAATCGGTTTTGATTTCGATTCAAATTTCGTTAAATTTAATTAATAGTGGTCATCAATGTAGCAGCGACATCACGTGAAAATAATAACTCACATCTGTTGAGGTAGTGAGAAGTTTTTGGATCTACAAAACACTACTGTGGGATGATCGCCTTTCATTTTTGTTTGAAAATATTAAGAAAATCTCAATTATAAAGTGTAACAATTTTGAAGGTAAAACAAAAATAATAAAAATTATTAGGTATGTAAAGATGTTCATTTTAATTACATTCGTATGTTTCTTGTTACAGAGTATATTAAAAACAAGAAATTCGACAAAAAACGAAATTTCATCAAAAGTAGTGTATACTAGCATTTTTTGCCTATAAAAACTAGCTATAAAAAAGTTAATTTGAGTAAATAATGTATAGTTTTATTTAAATAATTTATAAATTATAATTCATATCAATACAATAATCATTAATTTTTAAAGTAAAATATACATTTCTTTAACATTTTTATGTCATTTTTTAAGCATTTTTTATATATTTTTAGATCATCAAGTTTCAGGTCCTAATTCAATTGCAAATTCAATTGCAACATTCAAATCACAATATACGGCAGAATGCATATTTAATAGTTGTATTTCCTTTTTGAAGACTAACTAAACATGATTTTTAAATTTTATTTCTATATCATTAATGTGTTTTTTTTTTTTTGTACTAAATAATACAGTTTATAAATAAATAATACATTTATTTTTATAATTTGAATTATTTATAATATTTTAAATATTTTATAATTAAAATAAAACAACGGAATTTTTAAATATATCGGCTTTAATCAAAGTCTGTCAAATCAATAAATATATCACCATCATAAAATAAATAATGAAAACAGTTTCATAAAGTTAAAAAAAATCGTTAACAACTTTAACAAAAATTAACAACTTTATTGCAAGCAGTTTTCTTCGTCCTGTTATCAAATTCAGTGACCAACCATGTTGATGTCTATATTTCGAAAAAATACGCCTTCGATCTGTAAGCAATTCAGATCGTCGATCAATTGCCGAGATCACCGATCGATGAATAGCATGGCATTCAGGAGGCGCGACACGGACTCGAGGATACCGGGTCGGATTTTGGAATGGCAAAATCGCCGCCTGAAACAACCGAGTTTCGGGTGAGATTTTTCCTTACGATACAGCAAGGCTGTTTTAATTTGATAATATATACTCATATTGTTTCGTATCGAAAAATGGGTTTTCGTATATATTCCGAACAGTTCGTCGCGTGAATCATTTTTCACATGAACTATTTCTTCCCGTATAGCTACTTGGTGACCTGTGCCCGTGGAATGTTGACGGGCGCCGAGATATTGGTGATTCCCATTGTCAAAGGGATCGGGGCCATAGCAGGATGGACGATGCGGCAATGGTGGTCCAGTCGGAACTATAAAGAGAAGCGCCGGTACTGGAATAAGGTGAAGAACAATTTCAAGGCCCTGGTATATGGCATAACGCTCACGGCGTGTGTGTGTACCGCAGTAATATTGTACCACGTCGAATGGGAGCCGATCACGGGCCAGCTGATCTTGTGTCTGTATAATCACCGCACGATAGCCGGCATTTCCAAAATGAAATGGCAAAACAAGATGATCGTTACTGGGAGGAATCTGAAGTACAGCGACGAGAGGATGGAAAATCGTGCGCGTCTCATCATGAAGAAGGTTTTGGAGGCAAACGCTCAGTTTACCGCGATCTGGGACAATGATTGGTATCTCATCATAGAGGAAAACAACGAACTGAACGCGAGATCGATGCCCTTTGGGTTGATAGTAATTAACAGCAGCATGATGAATATGCTCAATGACGATCAACTGGCTATCATCATCGGCCACGAGATTTCCCACACCTTGTTGCGCCACATCAACCGTGAGTTGAGCATGAATATATTGGTGAACGTATTTCAGATAGTGGGCATCGTTGTCGCCTGGATGCTGCTGCCCGAGGTTATCGCGTATACTTTTTCCATATGGTTTGAAATCAAGATCAAGTCGTTGTGTTTTGAAATGCCACTCTTGAGACGCTTGGAGAAGGAGGCTGACCGAGTCGGATTCATGATGGCCGCGCGAGCCTGCGTGGACATCACGCAAGGCCCAAAGATGTGGATCTCCTTTGCCGAAACTGATGAACGGTCGTCCATCAAACGCAGCTACTGGTGGATGTGTACTCACCCGTCATACCGAAGCCGAGCAAACCATCTGAACCAACTGACGGCTGAGACCCAAAAACTGCAGAAATTAGTCAATTGCCACGATTTGTAAATCTATCAAGAATTTGTAAGTAACACCTACTTATCGTACAACAAAAAACAAAAAAAAAAAAAAATGGATTGTTAATGATCGGTGGATACTGTGCTATAATTAGAATTCCTACTTAAAATTATTCTTCGAATCCAAGACATGCAACGTTTTATCATTTTATTCTTTACATAATTTATTGATGATTACTTCCAGTATTTAATTTATATAACCAGGCATACTTAAATAAATATCCGTACTATGTAGTAAGTATGTGGTGTTATGATTGGGTCCGTTTGAATTTGGTGTTTGCTCATATTCTTTTGATTGAATCTCAAATTGTGTATGTTAGATGAATATGTGCCGATTTCGTATTTGTTTGAACTTTAAAGGTGCGTCCAAAACTGTTCGTGATATCCACGCGCTGACGGTGAACGTTTAACCCCCGCGCTATGTTTCCGTCCCCATCGATAATTAGAGCAAACCAATAGCCATTCTATAATTAAAATATGTCGAATAGCAATCGTTTTGTTTTTCCCTTATATCACTCCAAGGTAAACCTCAGAGACAGAAACAGAGAGTCGACGGTACATTTGAAATAGATGAACAAAACCATCAGAACAAGACGATGGAACATGATGGGTTACATATCGAAATACGAAAATGAAGTAACCCATAGAATAATAAAAGAGAATATTGAAGGTAAAAGGGATCGAGGATTTCCAATTCGAATATCGTTTGTTTGAAGCTCACGTTTTCTAAGTAAAACTGGTTGAATGGTCATATGTTAGAAATGTTTTGTGTAAGAAAAATTGAGCGTTCGAACATTTAAATTAATATACTATATAATTTTATAATTTAATCATCGAATCGACTTAGATGGTGAGACTATGGCAGTGTTGATAGCAAAGGTATTTCCGTTTATATGATAGGTTAATTTAGTGTTGCTAGTTTATTTGATTTATATAAGTAATTTAATTATAATTAATATATTTAATTATAATTTAAACAAATTAATTTAATCTAATTTAATATATGTGTCAAAAGTAAAACAGTAAAACTGTCGCGTGAACTATTTTCGTCGAACAATTGACGTGATACCGGTGGAATACCGTTTGTCCCACCTCAAAAATCTAACTTCCGTCACGGTTGTACGAAAAATAACCAACCTTTTATAATAATTTTTCCATAACAATAAATAATTAATTTCCAATATTTTTTTTTATATGTTAAGCGATCGATAGTCTTAGGCTAACCTAACCCAACGTTTTTTGTGTTTCCAACCTAAACTAACCAGACAAGATTGTCACTTTGAAACATTGGTTTCCAAAATATTGAACGTGAAACCGTGGGCGAAAACAATGTAATTATTTTCGGGCGAAAAGGCGAAACTATTTTTTTCAGCTTTACTTGAAAAGAGAATATGGGTGAAAAGAGGATGGCCATTTTTGGGCGAAAGGAGTATCGTCCGCTAGTCGAACAGCTCGGTGAAATTTAATTCCTATTATCCGTAAATAATTCAATCAGAACCAGGGCATTTACGTAATCATAACTTTATGCGAACGCTTGCGTGCACGTATTGTACATAGGTGCGTACTGCAACGGATTTTAAATGCGGGCGACCATTAAACCGTTAAAATTAAAACGAATCGCCCCGCTGCGTAGGAGGCGTTCGAGGTACATCTTAATATAATATATATTTTAAGCTTATATACATATATGTTCGCCCAACAGTCCAACATTTATAACACCCTCATGTCTTATTTATATAATCGTAGGTATTAGGGTACGCGTGTTAATATAAGTGCGTATACTTATTTCGCGCGTAAAACGCAATCACGTGTACGCGGAGCAGGTGGCTTAGTATACGAATCGAGCTGCAAAACACCTTCATATACATAAATATACATATGCGTGTATACACTGCGGAATACATTAAATAATTTTCATAGGAGTATTGTTATCGTTATCATCATCGTTATGCTTAAGCGTATGCTGCAGCAGCGAACGAGGACGAGAAAGGATTTTAAATCCAACGTTCGTTGCTGAACCTTTAAACGCTCGCCTGTTTGTTACCGTTCCTGGATAGAATTTTTTTTTCACCCCACAAGATCATAAAAACAACGAACGAAACTTTTGTTTTATTTCAGGGAAGACTTATTTTTCTCCCTTTAGATTTTTGTCTCTCGGGTTTTTTTTTCCCTCTGACGCCTCGGTGCACCGACCAGTGTCACGCAATTAAACGTTCCCCTTCACGCCTCGGTCCGTCTGTATAAAAGTTGGTTTTTTCCCTCTTTTCCCATTTTATTACCACGGGTATATTTTACTGATTGATTTATTCCATATACGCGCTCTGCGTTTGGCATGTAAAAACACAACGACCACGTCTTTGTCGAAGTCGCACGCGCACGCCACATCCAACAATGCCCATATACGTCCGTCCCTTCGCTCACGCTATGCCTTCGGCTAAGTACAATAATCACCCCAGACGAAATCGATAGACGACCCAGGGGTTCGGCGGCGGCGGCGGCGATGGTGGTGACGTAGAAATGGCAGCTGTGAATGAATGAATCATTAAATCGGGCAAAATTGGTGTCTTCTGTGGCGTTGACGTTTCAGGCGAAGCGATGACAATGACAGACGGGAATCTCTACAGCACTTCCTTGTTCAATTTAAAAAAAAAAAACTTTTTAACGAGCTTCTTTTCAGCGGAAAACGAAAAAAAAATCGTTTTGAAACGACGTCGTGGCAATTCGAACTATTCTTTTTTTCCCCTTTTTTTTTTTCATTTATCAAACGATAGCGGAATAAACGAGTGTAAGAGAGTGTGTGTGAGAGAGAGAGAGAGTGAGTGAGCCGACGGTAGCGGAATAGCGATGGTGAGACAGACGGAATGAGAAAAAACTGCTTGACATCAACGTTGACATACTCTCTAGGTAATTTTACTTTTTATTTTTTGATAATTTATTCTATCAAAATCTCAAACGGGCGCCTCCGGAACGCGTCATTTGCGTTTCTTCTGGTGGCCTTGCTATACCATCAACGGTGCGATTAAGATCGAGTCAAATCGCGATAATTATTAACGAACGCGACGATTGTTAATTATATTACAGTCTCATCGCTTCGAGGCGAGGATTTAGTGCAGGGCAAGAGGGCATGGGCCAGGGGCGTAATTCTAAGAGGGCTACAAATTTCAACACTACCTAGATAATATTTTTCACGAAATATTTGAAAAATTTATATTTTTCTAAATTTATTTGATTATTTTGTGAAATAATACATATACCAAACTCCACAACATTGAAAAATTAAAATAACTTAAGATCATAAAAATTAATATTCTGAAGCATATTCATCAGTCCCTTTACAAGATTTGTATAGGAGGTGGCACTACGAATATTTGTAACTATTCCTGTCAAAGCAGCTAATTATGAAAGAAGCTGAAAATTATAAAAAAAACTATCTTAGATCGAAAATAGGTCAAAGTAGCCAGTATGGCTGTATTAGCAACAGAGAAACATGCAGTCAAAACAATTTCATTCGATAATGTGGTGGATCGATTTACCTCTATAAATGCAAGAAAAGTACCGTTGTAATATTGAAATTGAAATAAATTGAAAACCATCTAACACAACTGTAAAACAAAAACATTTGAAGAGTTTATTAGTAATCATACATCTCAATGCTTTATATGTGTCAAATGGTTATTTGTAGAAAGAAATGCAAAATTCCCATTTAGGGGTCGGGGGTGGTTGCGTAAGTACAGTGATTCGCCATGGGCACCACGAGAGCTCAACACGGGCCTGAGGTTCGCCGAGCCTCCGTCGCCGGAGACGATGAATCGAAACCAACGTCTGTCGTTGGGCGCGCGCGGTTGTTCGCACACGGTACTGCTCGTATCGTTAATAACGCGTGTCCCCGAGTGCGCGGGACTTGTCAATATTTAACGAACTTTACGTAACTTGACTTAACGAACGTGTGCGCCGTCCCCGGTCGCGGTACAGGTCGGTACAGGTTTAGAGCACACACGACAAGTGTACAAGCACGGCACGTCCACGGTACACCGCGGGGGCGCGCGCGGAGACTTCGGGTTCGCGGGACAGACGATTTTCGGGAACGGGAGAGCAAACACCGGGTAGCGATTAAACATTCATCGTGTTTGCGCGGAAGCTTCGGCGGTCGTGTTTGCGGAGCGTGTACCGTGCGCTCCGCCAAATCACCCCGTGCGCCCTCCCTCACCCCCATCCGTCGCAACAGTCGCGGCAGTTTGTCAGTGTACACGGCGAACCCGTCGGCGAGGGGGTGTGTTCGCCCGGGCTTTTGCACGTCCCGCAATGTCCGGCCGGAAAATGAACAATTCGTTTACGTCCCCTCTAGCGAGCCGCCAACTCGGATCTCATCAGATCTGCACGCACGCGAAATACGTACGTCTACACACGTGCGCGCCCCCTATCGCCCCCGTTCGCTGCACCGGTACCGGTGTCCTCGTCGAATCCGGTCTCGTTTGAACGCGGACTGCATGCGCGCGCGATCGCTCCCGGCGACTGTGGTGTTCCTCCGTCCGTTGTACCGCGTGCAGAACGCGTACGAGCTTTTCGCCCGACACCCGTTTTTTTTTTTTTTTTTTTTCTTAAAAAAAAATATGGATTTCGCGAACATGGGGTGTATGCAGGGCGCCCTTTTATTATTTCCGTAAAAAAGCACCCTGATCCCGTCTTAGGTTCATCGTCAAAATAACAATAAATAACCTTAGTATAATAATTATTATTACGTTCACGGAGCCCGCTTTAAATGAATCCAACAACGTCCGTTGGGCTCTCGGTTTTCTTTCTTTAAAAATACTGAGATCGTTGCGAAGCATGCAGAGGGTGGACAAAATAATATGAACACCATGCAATATAGTTACATATCGTTGCATGTTGTTGATACTGTACCTCCAACATTGCTGTAGCAACTTGTCCACCAGCTGCATATAATATTATGATCGATGGACAGTATAGATCGGTAATTGGGCCACATTTTATCTACCTGCTTCGTATAAA